GCTGGGTTTGAACCCTCCACCTCCGGCATATGGGGCTGGCGCCGTACTCCTTTGAGCCTCAGGCACTACCCTCCACCACTAGATTTTTAATATAATAAAATAAATATAATGAAGTAGATTCTCTGCTTTTGGAACTCTTCTGTCACTCAAAAACTAGGGTTTCTGCAGGTTTTGATCATCATGTTTCCCAGTGATGGGCCATAGCTGACACTTTCTGATTTCATTATCCTCATGTCTTGGGCCAAAAGATAAATTTTGGGGGTAAGTTCCAAACATTACTAAATCAGCAAACTAGTTAAAATTTAAGGTTATGTTCTGGATTTCATTATCTTCCTTACATGGAGGCTAAAAAAAAAAAAAAAAAGATTTAAAAACCAAGCTTAGCCAGGTGCAGTGGCTCATGCCTATAATCCCAGCACTGTGGAAAGCCAAGGCTGAAGAACTTCTTGAGCTCAGGAGTTTGTGACTTGTCTGAGCGAGAGTGAGATCCTGACTCACTAAGACAGTGAAAACCCAGCTGGGTGCTGTGGCGAGCACCTATAATCCTAGTGGTTCTCCAGAGGCTGAGGTAGCAGGATGCCCACAGTTGGAGTCAGAGGTTGCAGTAAGCTATGATGCCATTGCACTCTGCTCAGGGCATAGGATGAGACTGTCTCAACAACAAATGAATAAATAAATAAATAGCAAGCTGAATTTTAGTGGACTGTGAAATAAAGTAACATATATAACTTATGTACTATAATCTGCAGTATCATAAGAAATTAATGTACTCTTTTTTGTTCTGATTTAGTCTTCTAGCTCCCTGGTTATTCTAGTTTTTAGACAGAGGTGGGATGAATGTGAATAATTAGTTGTGAAGACTTAGTACTCATGTAACTTGGCAAAAACATTCAGTTTTATATTTTTCTAATGTATTAAACAAAAATAGAGCTCAGATTCCATTCTATTGGTAGGGAAGGTCTTGATTCCTCTGACAAGAAGCTTAAACATTGCTAATTTTTATATTTCAAAGAATTTTCTCCTTCAAATTTGATCTAATGCACTTTTACCTGCTTAAGGCTATATGATGATTGTCACTGAAATGTAATGTTTTTTGTCTCTGTGTGTTTGTGCTCACACATGTGTATGTGTGTATGTGCGCATGTGCATATGTGTATATAGTGTATACACATGTTTAATTTAATGTAATGTCAAGCAGAACATATTGAATTTCCTTTTTTCCTTCGACAGGCATTTGATGATTATTTATCCTACTGTATGACATCTCCAGAAACAATACTGCTATTTAAAGTTGAGACTTGCAACAAGTTTTGTGATCATTCCTATTTGATAGGTAGGAAACAACAAATAACTACATTTGAATATGATGAAATATAAAGAATAATGAGTGTGATAAGGGTAATGGAAAAGAGACTTTTAAAACTGAAAAGATATTTTAAATAAACCTTCAGCTGAGCCCTATAGCAGCACTATGATAGTGAAAGACTTGTTTCCATGATCAACTGACATTTTCATATGGATGGTGACTTTCCCCTCAGTAACTATAAAAGAATACTGTAGGCTACACAATAATCCATAGAAGACCTAGTTTTGTAATCTGAAAAAACTTGAAAGTTGAAACTTTGCTCAATGTTTAAGACTGTAGGTTCATTTCTTAAGGAGGCAGTAAATTATAGGTTCAGTTTTTACAGCTAATATCTCTTTTGCATGAAAAAAATGTTTTGACTCTTAGGTGAAAGTAACAAATATAAAAATAGATAATATCACACATATTAGAATTTTGCCCCGTTTAACTGAAAATAGCTAAGCTGTGTTCTGTGTAGGGATAATGTTGACCTGTTAAACAAATCCCTAAAATGTTTCACAAATGACCCTGTTGTTTCAAAGCAAAGCATCTTTCAAAGCTATTCCACCATAATTTAGTATGAATATTCTGAACTGTGGCTAAGATTTTAAATTTTTATTTATGTATTATTAATAGTTTTACCTTATTCAAAGGGACTGTTATCAAATATTTTGTTAATCTTGTGTAGTTCTAATAGCTTTCTGTGATAGTAAATAATAATTTCCCGCCATTGTTTTTTGTTTTTTTTCCTAAATGATTTAGCATCTACTTAAAAAGAGACTAAGACTATGTCATATACTCCTCGTTTTTAAGGGCATATTTTATCATCTGTTAAATGAGTCCTTCTCCTGAGCAATCTTCTTCTTCAGGATGTTACTGTGAACTGGGCTTTGAATCATTTTTATGATTGGTGTATAGTGCCACATATTACTGTCATCCATACCTAATAGATCCTTCGTTTTGGTTGTAGACTTATTAGTAGGTCCTCTTTAGACACAAAGTAGAAGCTCTGAAGCAACTCTCTGAGGGCTTCTAGCAGTAAAAAAATAGTACCTACCACATATGATACTACTTTGTGTTTATTATATCTAATCCCCTTATTAAAATCTATAAGGAAAATACTGTGATATTTATTGTAAGATGAAATAACTCAGAGGTGTCAAAATAACTTTCCTAGAACTCAAAGCTAATGAGAAGGAGAGCTTAAATTGAAAAATAGGTCTGTCTCCCAAAGATTTTTCTCTGAGATTCAGACTTTCTGATTTTGGTTATTTACGTTAAACAAAGTACGTATTATTGTACTCTGGACCTCCTGTGTTGATGTTCATTAGGACAGTGGTTACAAGCTGGGCTTTAGAATCACATTGCTTGGTTTTCAGTTCCCACTCTGACATTTCTGAGCTTTGTGACTATGAACAAATATAATTTTTCAGTGCCTTACATTCTTTATCTAGTTTATAAGGTAGTTCTGAGGATTAAATGAAATGATTTAAAGCACCTAAAATAAGTGTCTGGCCCATGGTAAGAAGTCAGTACCCAGGCTCAGCGCCTACAGCTCAACCGGCTAAGGCGCCAGCCACGTACACCTGAGGTGGCGGGTTCGAATCCCCAGCCCGGACCACCAAACAACAATGATGGCTGCAACCAAAAAATAGCCGGGCGTTGTGGCGGGCGCCTGTGGTCCCAGCTACTTGGGAGGCGGAGGCAGGAGACTCGCTTGAGCCCAGGAGTTGGAGGTTGCTGTGAGCTGTAATGCCACAGCACTCTGTCCAGGGGGACAGCTTGAGGCTCTGTCTCAAAAAAAAAAAAAAAAAAAAAAAGAAGTCAGTACCTGTTGTTCTTTTTATTTAATATTATAGATAAGTTTTCTCTATGTATTTTGGAACTTCCAGCTAATGTTTTATGTTTTTAGTTAATACCATCATTGTAGGGAGTTTCTAGAAGTATATGTATGACATGTATTATTTATATATATGTATGTATATATATACTTTTCTGACAAAAATAAATACATTTCTAATTTCATAATGTTGACGAGCATATAATCCATACTTTAAAACATGCCTTGAACAAAAGAAAACTTAATACAAAGTGTATTAGCTAAGTGTAATTAGCACTGTTCCAAGTGCTAATTAAAAGATTTTTTTAATAGGAGCAGAAAGATAATAAAATAAAGATATAAACGATATTGTCCATTAGAAGATGATAACTGCACAGAAAAAATAAGCAGGCAAGGAGGAGAGGGAAAGTTGAAGGATGGGGGTGGAGATACTGGATTGTTAAGTACGAGTGACATTTGAGCAGAGATTTGAATGACATTTAAGTAAGCCAGATAGACAGATATCTGAGAAAAGAGCATTCCATAGCAGGGAGGAGTAAATATCTGTGGCAATGTCAGGGGTTAGCGAAAAGACCAGTGTGGGTGAAATAGAAAAATCAAGGAGGATGATAGTAAAAGATGAGATGAGATCACAGAGGTAATGGTGAGCCACATAGTGTGGGGTCTTATAGGTCAAAGTAGTAACTTTGGCTTTAACTCTGAGATGAAGAGCCAGTTCATTTTAAGAGTGAAGGAATATCATTATTTGACTGATGTTTTAACAGTTCTGACTGATATATTGACAATATACTATAGACTTAGGCAAGGGTGGTAGCAGAGGACTTTTAAGGAGCTATTGTAATAATCAAGATGAGAGAAAACGGTGACTTACTTGGTGGTAGTACTGGTGGTGATAAATTGTCAAAAATTGTCTATGTATTTGCGACAGATTGGAGAGGGATGTTAGAGAGATAGGCTTGCTGTTTTTACTTTCATTTATAGATAAGTTCGTGTCATAGCTTTTATTTAATGCAATTTAAATAAAACCATCTGTATCAGCACTGAAGTTTCTTTTCCTGTTTTATTGGGTATTTAGTTTACTCTGCAGGAAATCCAGCATTTTGTAACTGAAATTATGATGCTACACAGAATAAGTACCTTAATAATCATTTTAAGTTTCGACCAGGGATCAGCAAATTATAGCCAAAGGGCCAAATCTGGCTCACTGCCTATTTTTGTAAAGAAAGTTTTATTGGAACACTGCCACACCTATTAATTTGCATGTTATCTATGACAGCTTCCCTGCTACAAAGGCAACGGAGGCCCACAAATCCTAAACATATTTACTGTCTGGCCATTTAAAGAAAAAGTTTGCTGACCATTGATTTAGTAGTCATGTCTAATTTTTTTTCTAACTACTCAGACCGTTTAAGTATGAATTAAAAATTTAAGAGGAGACATGAAATAATGATAAAGAGAGCAAAGAGGTATTATTCAGTGACACCAACTTCTTTCTTTTACATTTATCTACCTTTTTCTTTGCTTTGCGTATTCACTTCTCACAGATCTCTGTAGTGCTTTGTGTAGGGAAACAAATGCAGCTGACAGGCCTGAAAAGAAAGTGTTTTCTCAATGGTAAAAACTTACTATAGGAATGAACATCAGATAGTAGAGACTAATTTTTGAATTTCACAGCCTTAATAGAAAATAAAAGATGAGTACCTGCATTAATGTGAACATCAGTCTTTATGAAGAATTTGGATCTCTTCTTATAAGTTTATAATCTATTGAAGCAGTATAAACAACTTAGACCTCCAATGTTGTTTGCTTTAACAGGTCTATAATGACAGATCTATACTACCTCAGTCAGACAGACGGAGCAGGTGATTGGCGGGAAAAAGAGGCCAAAGATCTGACAGATCTTGTCCAGCGAAGGATAACATATCTTCAGGTAAGAAGGTTAGGTTAAGGATAATTTGACTGAAAAAAAAGAAGTAAAATCATAATATAATAAAAATAATAATTTCTGTTTTTATTCTTCCTAGCCATTAATTACTCACTTTACATGTTTATTTGAAAGACATTATGTTATGCCTTGAGTGGAATTCAGAGAAGGCTGAAATAAAGGCTTCGCTCGAAAGGGAGATACACACACACACACACACACACACTACAGTGCAGAATACAGGATGCTACGTTTTATAGGAGGGAGATAGATGAAATGTTTATTGGAGTTTTGAGTAAGGAGACATCAGGGATAGTTTTGTGTATAATGTATTATTTGAACTGTATTCAAAGGCTACAAAGTGTAGTTAAGTAAGATTTTGACACATGGAAATGGAGGACAAGAACGTGCCGGCTGGAGGATATGATGTGAATAATGGTTTATAGCTGAGAAAGAACAGTACAGGAACCCAGATGAGAAATGGGGTAGTTTACTTTGTCTGGGGTTTTAGATTATGTGAAAAGGGGGGTTGGAGAAGAAGCTGGAAAGACAGGTTTGAAAGCCAGATTTCAGAGGTTAGGCTTTATGGTATATAAACAAAAAGTAGTCACTGAGAAATAGTAGTTATTTGTTTCATAAACATCATTAATGACAAAAAATAATTGGTTCTGGGCCTTTTTAAATTCTTTTAATTTTTTGTATTCTAGTATATACAATCTTAAATGTTTATAAGGACAGAATTTATTTATTTTTGAATTTTGTTTTTCTATTTAATGTATCAGAAGCATTTTTCTATTTTAGAAAGGTTTTGAAAGGTTTTACACATAAGAGTGGTATGGTTAGAGTGGTGCTTTAGTGAAATTAATCTGAAAGTAGTATTTTGGTTGAACTAGATTAGTATTTGAAGAGACTAGAAGGAGGGAGACCATTTAAGATAAAAGGACCCTAGTGCAGGTGAGAAGTAGTAAAGAATATGGCAGTTTACTTTGGATGTAAAGAGACAAATTTCTGAGAGCCTGGGAAGATAGAATTGATAGGCCTTTCCCAATAGGTTGAAAGAGATGAAATGGCTGGGATAATGAGGGCATCATTAGCTGACAGAGACTAAGAGATAGAATTGTTTTCGGGGGAAAACAGTTTAGCAGTAAAATTCTCCAAAACTCAAAAATGCTTAAGGTTAAAATGACCATAGAACATCCTCCACTCCCCATCCTTTTCTTTTCTTTTCTTTTCTTTCTTTCTTTCTTTTTTTTTTTTTTTCCTTTTTTGAGACAGACTCTCACTTGGTCACTCTTGGTAGAGAGAGTGCTGTGGCATCTTAACCTCACGGCAACCTCAAACTCTTGGGTTCAGGTGATCCACTTGCCTCAGCCTCCTGAGTAGCTGGGACTACAGGCACCTACCACAATGCCCAGCTATTTTTTAGAGATGAGATCTCACTCTGGCTCAGGCTTGTCTCAAACCCATGAGCTCAGGCAATCTGCCTGCCTGGGCCTTCCAAGTGCTGGTGTCACAGGTGTGAACCACCACGCCCAGCTTTCCCATCCTCTAATGTTGTTGATGCCATACTTGCTGTGTATAATTACTCTGCTTTCTCTTTCGTATTAGAACGTGTCTTATAAAAGCAAAAGGACAACCAGTGGCATGCTTCTGTCTATTGAAAAGTATGCATTTCCTACACTTAAATAGGAAAATGTAGAAAATCAAATGTTTAATGCAGGCGTCCTCAAACTACTGCCCGCTGGCCACATGCAGCCGGCCTAGGACATTTATCCAGCCCACCGGGTGTTTTTGCCGCTGCTGCCTGTCCTGCTTAGCAGCTGACTAGTCTGGGGGGGCCCCAGTCCGGCGCTCCAACAGTCTGAGGGACAGTGAACTGGACCCTTGTTTAAAAAGTTTGAGGACCCCTGGTTTAATGAGATCATTAAAAACCAAACTGATGTTGGCTTACTGTCTTAATTTCATACTCACATGGCTACTTGCTATACCTATTTTAGTTCTTTTCTTTTCTTTTCTTTTCTTTTCTTTT